GCTCCGCAATCGCCGATGGATGCTCCTTTAGGAGCTCCAGCCCCGTGATTCCGTTTGCCGCTAGAACAGCGAAAATTAGCTGTCTAGCGGCTCGAAACTCTCCTCCTGGGAAAAAGGGGGAGAGAAGAGCAGAGGGGTTTGGGTAGAGCTCCCCTAGACCCCCAGGTTTTTTTTTTTTTAAGCCTGGGGTTTGCAGGGTGAGAGCTCCCTGAAAGCTCTTCAGTGCTCTGGATCCGGGACGAGTCTGCTTTATGCAGAACGAGGCATCGCGACCACACCAGCATCAGCAACTTAATTTTAAGGGGAAAAAAAATTGGATTTGAAAGCTGGCAGAGCAAATACAGGAGAAACGAAAATTGCAAGTATTAAACTTTAACTCCAAAATCTATCACTTTCCTCTGAAGCTCTATGTAGAAAGGGAAAGTAAGATGGCGTGTGACTCTAATGGGACGTGGAGAAGTGAAACTTAGATACAAAGCATTATGTGGTGTTGAAAGCCCGTTTAAAAGAAGAGGATTTTATTTTAAAAGGAGAAGGATTTAATAATTATATCTAAGGAAAAAAAATGTCTGGCCTTTTTGAAAGTGATGAAGGCTCACAAATGCTGACTGTGGATCTTTTGGAAGAAGTTTTGGAATCATTTGCCTCTACGTTCGTGGAAAGAATTGAAGGGTCTCTTAAGAAGGATTTTACTCAAATCCCAAACAAAGATATAAGTGAAGAGGAAGCGGAAGAAAAAACCCAGTTTATTGTGTCTTTGGAAAATGAAATAGAGGTTCTTCAAATTGAGAGAGAGGAGCAGAGAGGCTTAAAGAAGTGTAACCAGGAAATATTGAGAGATATTCCTCCAGAGATTTTGATACAGGCAAATGGAGAATTGTCAGGAGCTGTTGGGATTTTTTATACAAAAAGGAAGATTCGAAGTGGAACTTTACAACTTTGTTGCAGGGATGGATTCTCAATCGCAGTTAAAGAGGTGTTTTTACCGAGAGGAATTACTTTGCGAGGAGAACAGGATTGTGGCGGAGGAGTGAGACTGGAGAAGAAAGAAAGAAAGAAGAGAGTTTGTAAAAAAGCCAGGAAAAAATGGAGAAGAGAAAAATTCTCGAAAATAAAAGCAGGGGGAGGAGCAATGCTGAAGAAGAAAGTATTATCGAAGAAGAAGGACTGGAAAAAATATAGAAAGAAAGGAAGAATGGAAGATTAATTTCTTTTGGGGAGGATCTTTGTAATAAATCTGAAAAGTTTACTGAAATTAGTATTTTTCAAGACAATGATATAAAGGAAGTGTTTTATTATATTTATCTTTGGATATAATTTAAGGGATAGCCTTTTGAGGGTTATATTTTGAAGAATGTTTTATTGAAATAAAAATGTTTAACTAAAAATGGATAGCTTTTTAAAAGTTACTGAGGTATCAAAATGTTTAATTTAAAATTTAATGGATAGCTTTTTGAAACTTATATTTTGAAGAATGAATTTAAGATTTAGAAATAACTTAACCCAATGGATTAACAGTATTTCTGAGGTTATATTCTGAAGAATGTTTTATTACAATCAGAAATTGGCAAGTGGTTTATGAATGACCAAAGAGGATAAATGTTTAATTTAGAATTTTACTAGGGAGCAATGCTGAAAAAGAAGGTAAGGAAAGGATTTTAGTAATAAATGTGAAATGTGATAAGAGAATTTATAAAAGGAAGGTTGATGAATAACTTTTAAAAGGGGAGTTAAAAGAACGTGAGGGAGTTTTGAATCTTGTAGTAAATTAGCATATTTTAGCTTAGGTTTGTTAAATGTTATACCCTGTTTTTGCTCTGGGAAGTCGGGGGTGTGTGGGAGGGGGGGGTTGAAGGTTGTGTGGGGATGAAATTGTTGTAAAATTTCTAATAAAATAAAAGGAGAGATAAGTGTATTAATAGAGAAGTAAGAAATGTGGGGGAAATGTTATAATAAATGAAATGATAATATTAAGATATGATAAATATTGGCGGAGCAAGAAGAAGACACAAAAGATGTATTTAGATGATACAGTGAATGATTGATTGTGTATTGTTTGTTTGTTTATTTATAAAAAATAAAAACTTTTTTTATTAAAAAAAAAATTCCTATTTCAGCAGGCCGGCCTGGCCTAACCTCTTTTTAAACAGTTTTTAAATTTTTTAAATTTTTAAATTTTAAATTTGTCTTATAAATTTGGGGTGTTTTGAATTTTGTTTTTCTGGGCCAAATTATTTAATTGTATTTTAATGGTTTTTTAACATTTGTATTATATGTATTTTATTTTTTGGCTGTTCACTGCCCTGAGTCCTTCGGGAGTAGGGCGGTATACAAATTTAATAAATAAATAAATAAATAAATAAATAAATAAATAAATAAATAAATAAATAAATAAATAAATAAATAAATAAATAAATAAATAAATAAATATTAGAACTAGTTGCAATGGAAAAGAAGCTCGTAATTAGCAAAAACAAAGCATTTTGGGAATAATTAATTATAGATGAAAATGTGGAATAAATTTTAAAGTGAATTGATTTTGAAGGATTTTAAGAGAGGAGTAAAATATTCTATGTTAAAATTATGGACATTAGATGTGATTTAAGAAAAATACTGATTTAATTTGGTCTTAGAAGTAAGGAACATATATGAAATACTGATTGTTAAAATGATAAATGAATATAACAAAGAACTGTCTATAGTTGGAGTTTAAGATTTAGGGCGATATAGTAGAATGCCAAATATTTAGAATAAGATGTTAGACTGAGTGATAAAAATTGGGTTTGGATTTCTTTGTGGTTTTTTTTCTTTCTTTTTTTCCTTTTTAAGATGTTAATGGATGAAATTTGGAAGGGAGTGTGAGCAATTGTAATTATTTCATACCGGATCAAACCCTTGCTCTAAAAAGATGTATTTTATCTATGTTTAAAAAAACAACAACAACAAGGGTTAAGAAAGCTAAGGTTCAAAATGAACTAAGGCTTGCAACAAATGCCAAAAATAACAAAAAGATTTCTTTTAATAGGTAAAAGATAGGAAGAAAGTCAAGGAAATGATCAGTCCATTAATGGGAGAAGATGGCAAGTAGGTCATGGGCAACAGAAAGAAAGCAAAACTGCTTAATATGTTCATTGCCTCTATCTTCACACAAAAGGAAAAAAATAATCCAAACTTCCAAAAGCAGCACCATGGCAGACAGAACAGGAATGCAGGTCAAAATGGGCAAGAAATCGGTAAGCAAACACCCATGCACTTCAGACATGCTCAAATCGTCAGGACCAGATGGTTTACAACTCAGGGTCCTGAAGGAGCTGGCAGATGTGATCTCGAAATCACTGAGCAAAATCTTTCATAGCTCCTGGAGCACACAGGAACTGTCAGAGGACTGGAAAAAAGCTGATGTAGTTCCAATATACAAAAAAGGGAAAAAGTGAATCAAGGAAACTACAGACAAATCAGGTTGACATCAATATCCAGGAAAATCCTGGAAAGGATAATCAAGCGGAGGGTTTTGTGAGCACCTAGAAACGAACAAAGTGATTACTAGAAGCCACATGCTTTTATTAAAAAACAAATCATGCCAGACAACTCTTACTGCTTTGTTAGGTAAAATGACTAAATTAATGGATCAAGGAAATATTGTAGATAGTTTACTTGGACTTTAATAAGGCATTTGACAGAATAGGCTCCAGCATGCTTCTTGATAAAATGATAACAGTACCATCATCAGACTGATTAGCAGTTGGCTGACAAACCACATTCAACATTTAGTCCTCAATGAAACTGCATCTACATGGAGGGAAGTATGCTTTGGACTACCTCAAAGTTCTGTTTCAGGACTGGTGCTCTTCAACATCTTTATAAATGATCTAGATGAGGGGATAGGAAAGATCATATCTGCTGATGACACCAAGTTGGGGGGAATTGCTAATACTTTGGAGGATAGACTCAAGATTCAGAAGGATCTTGACAGACTTCAGCCCTAGCTGACAAGATGCAGTTCAGTGGTGAGAAAAGTGACATCTTGCACCTAGGCACGATAAGTCAAATGCACAGGTATAGAATAGGCAGTACCTGGCTCAATAATTATGACTATGAGAGGGATGTAATTGTCCTAGCAAACCATAACTTAAATATAAACTAGCTGCCAAAAAAACCAATGCAGTCCTGGGCTACATAATCTGAGGGATAGCATTAAAATCACAAGAAATGATAATGCCACTTCATACTGCACTAGTGGGGCCATGCTTGGAATACTGCATACAGTTTTGGTCATCTTGATATAAAAATGATGAGACCCTAGTAAGAATACAAAGAAGAGCAACTAAGATGATAAGGGGTCTGTAGGATAAATTTTACCAGGAATGGTTAGAACAACTAGGTATGTCTAGCCTAACAAAGACAAGAATTAGGAGTGACATGGCAGCTGTCTTCTAATACTTGAGGGGTTGTCGCAGAGAAGACGAAGTCACCTTATTCTCTAAAACACATGAGGGCAGGACAAGAAGCAATGAGCAGAAGTTAGTTACAGAGAAATCCAACCTGGAACGAAGGATAAACTTCCTGACAGAGGGAATAATTAGCCAATGGAACAACTTGCATCTCAGAGTTGTGGGTGCACCATCACAGGAAGTTTTAAAGAAAGGATTGGACAACCATTTGTCCAGGATGATATAAAGTCTCCTGCCATGGGCAAGGGGCTGGACTAAAACACTTCCAAGTTCCCTTCCAGCCCTTGTTTGGTTCTGATTGGTTTTATAAGAAACCAGTGAAAACATTAAACCTGGAAATCTGTAAGTCTGACTTTTTGTTTGTTCATTCATTTAATAAAGTGTATATATTGAACAACACAGTATTTGATTAAAAAGAAAATTCATATAAGGACATATGTGTCCAGAGTTGTATATTTACTGCTAGAATACTCCCATGGTAGGAAACATGATTTTAAAAATGAATTTGCACAGGAACACGCCATAAAGCTGGTTCTTCAATACACGTACCTGCTGCCTGAGGTTGGATAAAGTTCCCTACGCCAGTCAAGTTAACAACAGCAGTTTGCTGAGCAGATAAGGATTGATCTTGGTTTGGGGGCGCTTCCTCAGAACCCTAGCAAAAAAGTTGATATATCAAAACATATTTATGATCTGTATAGTTAGTTTATTTATTTTCCTTTAGGAAGAAATACATTTCAAAGCATTTCTTAGTTTGATACATAGTTTCATTGAAAACAAGATTTTGTAAACGAGACAGCTAATACCTCTTAGTGATTTTACCACTTTATAGCAGAAACTTTCTTTTATTAACTCTGATGGAAAACTTACTTAAGTATATACACCATGAATTCTTCGTTTATAAACACACCTCAAACAGAGGTTCTTGACTTATAACTGTAGTTCAGTTTGTCATCTGTGTATTAATACTAATGAGGCTGCAACAATGCAGAACATAGTTCTAGAAGGTACTAAAGTTAACCCTTAGTCAGAAATAACTCCCCTCCAATATATGCCTAAAGCTAAACTGAAACAGATCCAGATAATTAATTTCCTCCAGGATAATCTAGAGCTGGAGCCAAACCATTGTCTGCACCAAGTTCCCCAGAAAATGGAGCGTGAAATCTGAATGGAAATATCCAGGATCATTGGGTAGAGTAATGGACTCTTCTAAGAAGGTGGATATCACTTACAATCACAAATCATCTCCTGAGTGGCCTTAAACCAAGCATGAGTGACTTGGATCAAACAAACAGATGGATGAACTCCCACACTAGAGAACTCTGTCCACTTCTTAAAAGTCACAGGCTCTAATACATATTTGATCCTACATGTATTAACTGCAGCCAAAATTGTATTTGCACAACAGTGGAAAAGTGAAGAGATCCCTACAGATGAAAATGTGATAAAAAATATTAGAATGTGCAGAAATGAATAAATTAACACTTGTAATTAAGGAAAAGGAACAAACTGAATATTTTATGATATGGGATTTATTTTATCAATGGTTAGATAACAAAAACAGAAGTTAGAAACATGGAAATAAAAGAAAAAGATTAATGAAATAAGGGAGATTTGTTAAAATAGAGAAGTAAATAGTATGATTATTATTTTTATTATTATAGAATTAATATCAGTGTAATGAATATTGTTGTAAACATTATGACTACATCTTTCAAACTATTTATACCAGACAACACACTGTTTAATTGAAAATGAAACTTTGACATATTAAAAAATAAAAAACTTTATGCAAAAAAAAAAAAAAGAAGTCGTCACAGACTCTAAAGTTTAACTCTAGTTAAACTTGCAAGCTCCAGCCTTGGCATCTGTTGAGTCGTCGTTCTGGAGCAACTTATATAGTTGTTTCTTATATATGAAATGTTTCATATAGTAGAAACATTTCTCATAATGGGCCTGCACATGATCCTACTGATTCATTCCTCCCAAATAGGGACAGGGTTAAATAGAGCCGGTAAGGAGCTATCAGCGGTTGCAATAAGGATAAAGAAATCATGCAATTTCACCATCCTTATCACCACAATGTAATTCCTAATGTGGGTTCTTATTCATGTTTGGTCAATTTCAGTCTTCATCTTCCTCCAAAGACACTATATGTTTCTTCTGATGCTTCATCTCCAGGATTTCCTCATAAAATCAAAGTGCACATTGATATCAGTGTACAGGAAGAAGCCACTTTAGTGGCAATCTAAATCTCTGACACTCACCCATTCCAGGCTGTGACCAAGCTCTCAGCTGGACTGCTGATTAGATACTCATAGAACATCTCAAGCTATTTCTGGAAACCAGCCAGGTCTACCAGATGCTTAGGGTGAACTGTTCTAATAAGCCCCTTTGACCTGGGATAACTTCCAGATGCTTAGGGTGAACTGTTCTAATAAGCCCCTTTGACCTGGGATAACTTTAGCACACCAAAATGCAATCAGATGTTCCAACTGTGGCAACAGACTAATGACAATGTTCTCCAAAACCCAATCACATCACAACTGCCCCAGAGAAAAACAACATATTCCTGCATACTATTTTCCCCACAACAACACTCTGAAATGGGTTGGGCAGAAAGAAAGTAATTGGGCCCGAATCACCCAAATGGATTTTATGCCTAAGGGAGCCCTAGAAGTCATAGTCCCCAGGTTTCTGGACCAGCACCTTAACCACAACATCAAGAAGATTTTTTTTTAAAAAAAATTAAAAGTACAAACTAAAAATACAAACTAAGAAAAAAAGAAAAAAAATCTAACTTATATTTTATATTTATCAATAGTCACTGGTATAGCAATGAAATTACTACTATAAAATAAACAATTAAAATATTGCTTAATATTACTTAAGATAATACAGAATCTCTGCCATTCTGCTATAGTGAAACATACTGCTGCATCCTTCGATTAGTAAAGAATATTGCCTTCTCCAAACAGATAAATTACATATTTCTGACAACCATTCCTTGACATCTGGAATAATATCATTTTTCCAATTTCTTAATATAATTCTTTTTGCTTCCTCCCTCCCTCAAGCTCGAAACAATCATATTTCCTGAAAAATCAACAAACTCAGACGTTTAATAAAATTCTAATGTGTGGCAAAACTAGCAAGTATTTTGCCGTTCCAGTAAAGGGAATGCTTCCTATGGGAAGGGTATGAGTTAGGTTGGTAACTTAATGAAAGTCTCAATTGAACAAAGTCATTCGTTCAATTAATTTATATTACTACCCATCTCAAAAACTCTGGGCCACAAACAATAATAAAAATAAAACAAATACATATAAAAAGTTACAATACACAGAAGCAAAAAAAGTTATCATCCACACGGCCAAAAGACAGGCCTCTTCACTTGCTTAAGGTTCTAAGCCCAAGCACACAGCCATGTTTTTAGGGATTTACAAAATGCAAGCAAATTTAGGGCCAACATAATCCTGGAGGGAGAATGTTCCAGAGTGCACTATGGCAAAAAAAAGCTTATCTTCTGGGCCCCATAAACCTGGATTCCTTAGCAAACAGGATCGGGAAGATGCTATCTTGTAGGACTGATGGGACAGGAAGAAACAACTAGAAGAGGTAGACTCTTAAATAACTCAGCCCCAAGCCATGAAGAGCTTTGAAGATGACAACCAGCAACTTGAATTGCATTTGGAAGCATACTAACATAGCTCATGAAGTAGTGGTGTTACATGTAAGGAACAAACCAGTACCATTAACTATCCTTCTACATCAGCTGCAGTTTCTGAATGCTCTTCAAAGTCAATCTGTAATGGTATGTGGGACTGATCTTGGGAGATTGAGGGAAGAGATGCTGCCTAGGGAAAATCAGATAAGAGAAGGCATAGCCCACAGCTGTATAATGGGCAGAGAAAGAAACACAGAAAGGAACTTCCTTATTTCTCAAGCTGCAAAAGAGACAGTGGGAGATTGGAGATTTGTATTATCAAACTTGCAAGATTCTCTAAATGGTATCAAAAAGCTGCTGAGAGATCAACAATCAGGATGGATTACAACCCCCATCCTGCCCACACCAGAAGTCAGCCAAGAGCTTGATCAATGCCATCTTAGTTTCATACCCTTCTGAGGTCAATAAAATGAGGAGCAAGATTGTGAGAGCAATATGCAAATAATGCTTTTATATTGTAAACCACCCAGAGAGTGCTGTAAAGCACTATGGTGTGTTATGTAAGCATAAATACTGTTGTTAAATGCTACTGCATGTGCAACTGAACATATGAGCAATGTTATACAACCCTTCCTTCTATGGAATGTTGTGATATCAGTATGTCAGAAAACAGCTGCTTGTCTAAGGATACAATATAACTACAGGTATAGGAAGGCTCCCTGTGGCAATCAACATTCCATGTGAATTGAAATTGCATTAGCAGAATTCCAGCCATTACAGAAACTTTCACACGTACACAATAGCTTTTCTTTGAAGACAGCTCCATTGTATTGTGGAGATTAACTCCCCAGTGATATCATCAACATAAATTAAAGGAGTTATGTTGATATCTACCTTGTTTCCCTGAAAATAAGACCAGGTCTTATTTTCTTTTGACCCCCGAAAAAACAACTAGGGCTTCTTTTTGGGTGGGTCTAATTATTGACTCGCCTCGCGGCGGCGGCACCAACAGCCCCACCCAACAGGAGCCTGCTGCCAGTCCACTTCTTCTGCAGCCGCTTGCCGCCGCACGCACGCGTCATCCCCAGCCTCTGTTTCACCGTCAGAGCCTTCCGGAAAGCCCTCTGCAGCTGAGAAATGGGCTCTAGATTGACGCACTCAGGGCCCCCTGGCTTCCGTTTCGCCTTCAGATGCCTTCCGGAAAGCTCTCTGCAGCTGATAACAGAGCTCCAGATCAATCCAGAGCTCTTTTATCAGCTACATATGCCTTCTGGAAAGCCCTCTGCAGCCAATAACAGGTGAAATGGAGGCCGGTGGCGATGCGTGTGAGAAGCAGCCACAGAAGAAGGTAAGGCAAGTGTCGGGATGTGCGAGGCCTGGTAAGTAGGGCAGCTCCACCCCTCCATGTCCACCCTAGCTTAATTTTTACCTCGTCCCACCCCCTGCACCCTGGCTAATTTTGGAGATAGGGCTTAATTTGAGCACATGCATTCAAAAACATGATAGGGCTTTTTTTTTGGGATGGATCTTATTTTAGGGGAAACACAGTACATGCAAACATATGAGACAGCATGGATTATTGTTTATTATATTATTCTTAATGGGTATGCCTACCTGATCTCCCTGTAGCTGAGGATTAGAAGTTGTAGGCTGCTGAGATGAAAACTGGGAGAGTTGTTGTTGCTGTTGCTGCTGCTGCTGCTGGAGAGGATTGAATATCAGTGAGCCACCTGCAAGCTGTTAAAGTTTAGAGAGAAATTAGGAGAATTGCATATCTTGGGAGAGTTGCATATTTTATTTGTTATGCACACAAATATATAGAATTTAGAATTCATAACTGACCACCCAGTGTCCTTAGTCCTTTTCCACGTCAAGAAAATTGGGACTAAAAGATGTTACAGAGTAAAATCACAGTAAAAATGAAGCCTAAAACAAAGTGACCAAAGTACTTTTCCACAGCAAGTATCATTTTATGCAACAATAGATGTACATGTGCATGGAATTCATATTGCCTACATCAACTAATTCTATTCCCCATTAGGTAAAACATATGTATTTATTTCCAACTAGATCAAAGCCTGGAATCTCTGTCACAGCTGGAAGGAGGAGTAAGAGGTGGAAATGCACAAGTGCTGAGCAGAGCTTTTAAGCTAGTTTGTTGGATGTCCCACAGACCAAGCTCATCAACTTTTCTTTGTGAAAATAGCAGTACTTTGTTTATGGTCCATCTTTTTGCTTACAGGGCACTAAAAGTAACAAACACAATTTTATAAAAACAGTTAAAGGCAATTATTTAACTCAAACTGAAAATACACATCAAAGGAGGAATGTGTTTCAATATTTTCTGAAAGCACAGTTAAGTCTGAGTGTGGTTCTGAAGGAAGCACATGTCATAGCTTGAGACCAATACAGGAGATAGTATTCTCTGTGTGTCCAAAGTTGTATCTCAGAAAGTAGGAAAATTTTAAGAGCCCAATCCTCATGTCCAAATTAAATAGTATCAGTTAGACAGTCCATCTAATAATGAAATTCCAAAGCCATTATAAATATTAAAAGCATTGCCAACATTGTGTACAAATCAGCAGCTATATATTTAAACTTGCTTCTGGACTATTTCAAGGGTAAGCCCATATAGAAAGCAAGGTCAGGATATAACAAAAGCATGGATAATTCAATGAGAATCCCAACATTGGAGTCATTGGTGTTGGCCAGTCAATAAATGTGAACTAATTAATTAAAATAATAAGAGCAATGAGATAGTAAGGCAGAGGGATGGTCTCCTAACTCAATTGCAAAATTTCCACATTTTTGCAGATTTGAAATAGAGAACTGGCTTTCCAGATCCACAATTTCCTTGCCTCAATGTTTTGCGATGAAAAAATTTTATTTTGACATTTTTTCCAACCTCATATCAAGAGAAACATATATCCTTCTATATTTTTGACAGGATAATATGTTTTACTAGTTAGTCAATGGACATAAGGGTTTTTGTATTTACATCTACTGGTAATTTCCCCACTCAATGTCTTGAGAAATCATACAGAAAAACAGGCCCAAATGTATTATCATACCTGTAGAAGATTCAATGGGCGAAGGCCTGGAGCATTTTTTAAACCAAAAGGGACACCTGCTGAGATTAATTTAGGTAAGAAAATGTTGTGGTTTTTTCTTCCTTTTAATTACATCTGAAGTGGAAGCGAACAATGTAACTAACCATTAATATTGACAAAAGCTATTTTGGTCATTTCAACAGAAGCAACTATTTTTTTCCAAAATACCTCCTCTAATGAGAAACAAAAAAATGATGAGTTTTAAATATTAAAATATTCCAACTTTAAAGCTCAGCTTTAAAATTTGGAATACTTTAGTATTTAAAACTCATAAAAATTATATGAGCTTTAAAATTTAAGTAGAGTTAATTTGCACTGAAACTGTACAATGTATCTTGTTTCAGTAAACTGAATTAAAACACCTTAATACTTAAATTCTAGCAATGATTCAAGCTTTCAGAGTACTGTAGTTTTTCTCTACTGCCATGTCAGGGTAGAAGAAGGCATATACATGAAAAGGAACAGAATTAGCTTATTATATTTACAGTATATTACTTCACAAGAACTGCTTACAAATCCTAAATACAGTGCACATAAAATAACTGATTAAAAATAGAGCACAAACTGAAATCATAATAGCAGATAAAATATTCTGCAAAATGCTAAAATTATGAAACCAATGTAGCAAGTTAAAATGCTTACATAATTTTAATTTTAAATCAAAAACTTGATTAACAGCAGGTTATTTGGAAGATCAGTGCCATCATATAAATATCAACAGATGACTGAGAAGAAAGTAGAGTTACCAGAAGCTACAGTATTCCATAGAAAGAATCCTAGAATTTGTCTGGGTCTGTGTCACTGATTAGAAAATTCAGTTGCATATGCTTACAAAACTTAAAACTCTAGAGCAGTGTTGGCGAACCTTTTTGGCACCGAGTGACAAAATGGGAGAATGTGTGTGTGTGGGGGGGGGACATCAGAAACCTGAAGAGCGGCTCCCCGGCATGCGCGTGGGGGAGCACCGGAAACTGGAAGAGCAGCTCCCCGGCGCACATGCACGTGCCGGGAAGCTTAGGTTCCAGTTTCTGGTGCTCCCGCACAGGCAAAGACCAGCTGGCCACTGCACGTGCGCACTGGAACCCAAAAGAGCAACAGGCGACGGCTGGTGTGCCTGGAGAGATAGCTCTGTGTGCCACTTCCGGCATGAGTGCCATAGGTTCGCCATCACAGCTCTAGAGGATTGCAACCTAGGACAATAATTAAGATGGCTTTAATTGTAAATCAAGTCCAAAATGCCCATCACTATATACTATGCAATTTACTAGTTAGTAACCTTCTAGTTTCTTTCCCCAAGTTTAACTTTCAATAGGTATCATCATTATCATCATCCCATTTCAGCATGTCCGATTTTCATACTGACCTGGCTGAGAGGTATGCTGCATTGCAGCAGGGAGTGCATTTGGCATCAGATTTCCTGAAGGTAAAATATTACTCAGGTTTATACCTGCAGGGGGGACTGCACCAGTACTACCCCCCAACATGGGATTTGAACCACTCATTAACGTTTGTGTTCCACTGTACAAAAGGAATAGGTAAGAATTAGACTAACATGGTACGAAATAATATGCAGTTTTACTAATCGAGTTACAACAAAATCTTTTGTTTCATTTGAATAAAATTTATTCATATCTATAGTTCCTCATATTCCATCCCAAAGCTACCTAGAACATATCTAAACAACATAACACGTGAACAGTATTCAAGGAATGAATAGAATGACAGATGCTCTCTTTATTTTTAATTCTAACTTCATGATGGTAAGAATGGAGGACAGATTACCCACACGCAGAAATAATACAATAATAAAAATACTAATCTGAACCAGTTTTTAAAAACTTACTAAAAGTTTACTTTTTGTATGTTCACATAATTATGATCAACTAATGTTTAAGAATATGGAATGAAATAAATGCACTAAAATATGTTAAATTTCATTAATTGGTTAACCCATCTCAAGTTCATCACTCATCAGTTGGCTCACAGCAACATGGAACAAGGTGGAAAGTAACTATAAACTATAAAATAACTAACTTACCACACAGAGCCCACTACATTGATGAAGTTAAGTCCTGCAGTGTTTGTCATGACCTGGTTGGAAGATGTTCCTGTAGTAATGGAAGTTACCATGGTGGAAAGAGGAATGGTCATTACAGGCAATGCCTGGCCCAGAGACATTTGCTGCTGAGCAAACGGGGTAAGCAAAGTGGGCTGAGGGGTGAAGCCTGAATCTTGGGGTGTAAGGGTAGCAGAATGGGTAATCAGAGTTGAGCTCTGAGCATCAGCAGGGTGTGGGGTCGATGAAAGGGTGTTGGTTGGAGTAGGAGTAGCTGGTTTAGGAGTTCCAGACCCTGCTCATTGAGAAAAATAAAAAGCACTCGTTTGTTATAAAAGGCCAGTCCTTTTTTAAAACTAAGGTTAGTGGACTCTTACTTAGCTTGATATTTTACTCCACTTTAAAACACCACCACCAATCCAGCCAATTCTGTTAATAATTGCTGTTTCTGATGAATGAAGCATATGGCACAAAAATATCACTATGCTTAATCTGCAACTCCAGTTCTATTTATTCCATTATATCATTCTAACATTGTTGACACATTTACATCACTCCTCTGCTATTAACTATCTCATGTCAATTTCAGTATTTAAAGTATTAAAATGTTATAAACAATAAATGAATAATCTAACATTGTAACATATAAATCTTCTAATATCTGCACAATAATGTAACATTAGAAAAGCAGCTTGAATAAAAATCTGGACAGTGAAAAAGAAAATACAAATAATTATCCATCACTGGTTTCCTTAACTTGCAGACAGAAAGAAAGCAACAATTAATGATTGCATTTAAAATGTAAATTGGCATGAAGCAATATCATCAATGGAATTAAGACAATCCAAAAGTTCTAAAACTATTTTAAATTTGTCCCTTTTTTTTTAAGCATTCATGTTTTGCAGAAAGAAAAGAAAGAAATTTGAATGTCTAAAAGCTGGGGGCCAAGTATACAACAACACATACATCTAGAAAAATGAACACTCCTACAAGTTGAGTTTGGTTCCTCATGAATATGTGGATGTGCCCATGTAATTTTCTTGACATTGCCTTCTTCCAATCTAGTCTCTGGGATTTCCCAGCAGCATATAAGGAGTGGAATGAAAATTAGGTGAATCAGATAGTTGGGAAAACTTATCAAAGCTCCTTTTATATTTCTTTGTGCAAAACTGGAAGGCATAAAAATGACATCTGTTAAGCCCCTTTCTGACAATTTTAGATTATGCAACATGCAAATCACAGGACTACAAGAACTGAATAGACAAATGTCTAAAAGATACTCTAAGGCAGGGGTGTTAAACTTGCAGCGTCACAGTGGCATCAAGTGACATATTGCAACTTTTTTCCCCTTTGCTAAACCGGGCGTGGGCATGGCCAGCACATGACGCATCTGGCCCACGAGCCACGAGTTTGTCAGCCCTGCTCTAAGGGATCCTTCCCCACCTCCCATATATTTCAAAGGGTGGTTAAAAACTCACAGTGTTATTTTTATTGTGAGATTTATCAAACTGATGCTGCTGAAAAATCCAAACCAGCTTTCTATCAGTTCTGAAGATATTTAAGAAACTGCACTAATATCCTGAAACTATTCTTATATTTTTGATTTGTAATGATTTTGATATCAGCAATGATTTGTAAAACAGTATAGGAGTGTTTTTAAAAAATCAATTTATAAACTTTATTTTATTACCATATTGGGACTTGATCATGTTATATACACATATAGAGATACAATTACACCACAATTGATGACATTCAAATAGTTTTACTTTCTTAAAATATGCAAATTAAAATTGGTCTTAATGAGCTACTATTGACATAGTGAAAAAAGATATGTATTTTGGAAACTTCTATGATTACATTAATTATCAGGCTGTATGAAAGACAGACCTAAGTTGGTTGCATAAAATGAGTCAAAACGTATACACAGAGGGTGCATACATATATAATTATACAGAAGAACCAAATACAGTTACAGCAAACAAAGTACATACAGTGAACAAGAGGCCTGCTTTGTGCTGCACAATTAATACACAATTTAGGACATGTGATATTTAGTTTCTTCAGATCAGCTGGTTAGGAAGTTTATCATGAGAAGCCTATGAAGATTTAATGGAGAATTTAGGGCGGGACTCACTTTGTGAAGCACTTGCAGGAGATACAGAAGCCGAAGAAAGCATGCTCAATTGGTTCAGATCCAGAGATTGCTTCCGAGACACACAGGGAGGCTTAGGAGGAGGAAGAGCAGAAGGAGGAGGAGGAGGAGGAGGAGTTGGGGATTTGAGATGACTGCTTGACTGCTGTGGACTAAAAATATTACCTGAAAAGCATAATTAATAGATGGATTTGTTCTGTGAACCAACATCAGAAAGAGTATTTCATTTTCTAAAGTTGTTTCCCCAATTTTGCTACAGTACATATTAGTTATACAGTCCAATATTTGCTTATAAAAAAGATGCAGACCGCCTCAATTTTTTGAACTTGTTTGGAACATAAGTAACTTCTTTAGATTGCAGTTTCACTATTTCTACTGGAAGGAAACTGAATATGTCTTTTTCCCCTCCTTCCAAGCAATGTTACTACTGTGAGAAATTGTCTGCCACAGCTCTCTGGAAGGCTGTTATGAAGTCCTGTTTACCTAGTTTCCAGTCTGCTCATCTAGCAGGTGAGTGACAGGATATTGGAGAAGACTTATTATTATTATTATTATTATTATTATTATTATTATTATTATTATTGCAAGGGGAATGTGCTCTGAGTAACTTGCTTGCAGTTGCCCATACTTTTGTTATCAATAAGATTATAAATATATGTTCCCATTACCTAAAAGATTCACTAACAAATCTAAACAAGTAAAGCACAACTTATTCCACAAATATCTTCTCAACACAAAGGAAAATGCTTTGAAACGATATTTACCTGAAGAACTGCTTGCTGAACTTGAAGGTAGCTTGATGGGAGGTGGTCTGTGTTTCACACCTTTTCCCAACACTGAAGACTGAATATAACCTGCCACACCCTCAGTCTGCTAAAAGCAAGCATACACTCTTAAAGTTACAAGAAATCTACAGAGGTAATACTAACAAACAAATATGGAAACTGATACGCCAGTCAAAATCAGCATATTCGTATTTTCTCAGGAATGGGAATAAACATTATTAGTAAAAAGTTTTCCTGAGTTGTTTATTATATTCCTAAAAAGAGCTCATTTTTTCAGAATAAGTTATTTTTAATCAAACCAGTCAAACCAAGAAACATGTCTCCATACTGCAAAACACTTTCATCTCACATTTTGTCATCATTTAAACTTTGAGCCCTGAGCTTAATTCTATGCAATTAATTCAATTCTGAAGCATTTAATAATGGATCTAATGATATTAAATGAGTTAAGATACAGGTTGTCATATTATTATTTTTATCAAAAATTGAATATGAACTTGTTTTCCAAAGTTGCTAAAAGAAAAAATAAAAAGAATTCACCCAGCTCGTCTTTTCATCTTTAAAACTATCCCAATTATTTTAATCAACCCTAACCCTAACCCCAAAAACAGAGCTATATTAAGATGTGTGGACTTTAACTCACAGAATTCCCCAACCAGTGTTGTTGCTTGGGAATTCTGGGATATCTTCATTATTTTCCCATCACATATTAATTTTCCCTTCTAGATTAACACTTTTCAGTTTTTTTTCTATTATTTATTTATTTATTTATTTATTAAATTTATATACCGCCCTATTCCTGAGGGACTCAGGGCGGTGAACAGCGAACGATAAAAATACATGTAATACAAACGTTAAAACAAAACCAATTAAAATATACTAAACACTCTGGTCCTAGATAATTCAAGACATCCCAGTTTAAAATAAAATCAAAAGCAATATAAAGGGAAAGTAAGGCCAGGCCGGCCTGCTGAAACAGGAATGTTTTGAGGGCACGGCGGAAAGTGCGCAGATCCGGAATCTTCTGTATCTCTGGGGGGAGCTCGTTCCAGATGGTGGGTGCCCTCACAGAAAAGGCTCTCCCCCTGGGGGCCGCCAGTCGACACTGTTTGGCTGATGGCACCCTGAGAGCACCCTGAGCGTACTGGGCGGTGAGAGGCTATTGGTGGCAGAAGGCGGTCTCGTAAGTACCCCGGTCCTAAGCCATGGAGCGCTCTAAAGGTGGTAACTAAGACCTTGAAGCGCACCCGGAAGACCACAGGGAGCCAGTGCAGCTCGCACAGGAGGGGAGCCACATGGGAGCGCCATGCTGCTCCCCTAACTACCCGCGCGGCCGCATTCTGGACCAGCTGGAGCCTCCGGGTGCTCCTCAAGGGGAGCCCCAGGTAGAGAGCATTACAGTAGTCCAGGCGTGAAGTGACGAGGGCATGAGTGACCGTATTTAACGAGTCCCGATCCAGAAAGGGACGCAACTGGCGAATCAGGCGAACCTGATAAAAAGACCTCCCGGCCACAGCCGTCAAGTGTTCTTCTAAAGACAGCCGTGAGTCCAAGAGGACGCCTAAATTGCGAACCCTCTCCGTGGGGGGCAATGACTCATCCCCAATAGTCAGTGATGGCACCAACTGACTATATCGGGACGTCGGAAACCACAGCCACTTGGTCTTGGATGGGTTGAGCCTGAGTCTGTTCCTCCCCATCCAGATCCGTACAGCCTCCAGGCACCGGGACATCACTTTAAGGGCATCATTGGGGTGGTCCGGGGTGGAGATGTATAGCTGAGTATCATCAGCATACTGATGATACTTCACCCCAAAACCACGGATGATCTCACCCAGCGGCTTCACATAAATGTTGAACAGAAGGGGTGAGAGAACTGACCCCTGTGGCACCCCACATACAAGGGGCCTCGGGGTCGACCTCTGCCCCCCTGTCAACACAGACTGCGACCGATCAGAGAGAAAGGAGGAGAACCACCGCAACACGGTGCCCCCCACCCCTAACTCTTCCAACCGGTGCAGCATGATACCATGGTCGATGGTATCAAAAGCTGCTGAGAGGTCTAATAGGACCAGGACAGAGGAGCAACCCCTGTCCCGGGCCCTCCAGAGATCATCTACCAAGGAAGATTAATATTAAGGAAGATGATGTTCATGTTTGCAAATGCTTTCTTTATTTGTTAAGGTACATATAGTATAAAAGATTATGAAAGAAGATTAAAGTGAAAGTGAACAACCTCCTTAACTTTACGTATGTTTCTCCTCAAGCCCTCACCTCAATAATCTAACATCATAATGGCTTGCCCAGTATGATCATAAGTCATGGCAGTTGTTAAAGAAGGGACCCATATAATTGCCTCACTTAACAGCCACAATCCCTGTTCTTCCTACTATGGTTATTAAGCAGAGAATGGGGTGCCTCAAAAGGTGGGGGAAGCCCTGGGAAACCTGGCACAGGCTCAGGCCCACATTGCAGCTCCCCAACATCCCAGAATCTCCCCCTAAGGCATCCTGTACTCTGTTTCCCATCCCAGTGGGTCCCATACCCATGCTCCTACCTCCACACAAGCTTTGGGCCTGCCTCCTATCCTATTGGGTCCCTGCAGGCTTTGGACCTGTCTTCCACCCTGCTGGATTCTCACAGGCCTTGGACCTGCTTCCTACTGCTGGGTCTCCCACCATCCTCTCCCACCATCCTCTCCTGGCTCAGTCTACTTACATATTGCACAAATCGCTTTGGGGAAGGAGAACTGGCTGATCCACCCCACGGCTTTCCTACAGTAGGGTGGGGGCAGGCCTAAGGCCTGCAAGGATTCAGCCAGGTAGGGATAGGCCCAAGCGTACTAGTGGGACAGGATGGGAGAAAGGCAGGAGATGCTGCAGCATCCCTGTGTCACTCTTAAGGGTAAGCCAGATTTTGTTCATGTGACCATGGGAATGTGCTGCATCATTAACTTCAGATACAGGTAGTAAGTTCAGTGCCATTGGAATTTTGGATGGTTGCTGAACAGAGTCATAAGTTGAATATTCTGTTCTGAATATTCTATTCAGATCTATGACCATCAGACATTTTTTTTAATATACCTTTTCTAGACAATTCAAAAAGCACTGACTTTATCTGCACGCCACAATAATTGGGAATTCTGGAAAATTGTGGCTTATTGTGAATAACCAATAAGAGAGTATATTTGTAACTCAGGATTGAAATGTAGGGTCCTTGGTGCTCTCTAAGCTTGCTTGTTTTCTTGCACACATTTCATTACCCAAACTAGGTATCATCATCAATGCTAGTAAGAATTGGGATTCTTAATTCTCTCAATTCATATTCTAGTGGCATGCCCTGTCAGTGTTGGTAGGAGTGGCCTATTGTGAATGACCTTCAGATTGATGTAGATAGCCATGCTTTCATTTTGCTTCTCCCCACTTGAAGGAGGAAAAAAAACCCAATAGTATCATCTTTTTGTATTCCATGAAAGCAAATTCTTAGTTTATGATTTAGGAGCCATGGTGGTGCAGTTGTTAGAATGCAGCATTGCAGGTTTAAATCTGCCCATAGCCAGGGCATCCTGATTGGCTTAAGGTTGATTCAGCCTTCCATAGCAATAACAATAATGCTTAGACCTCGGAAGGATGGAAGTCAGCCTTGAGCTGGTGAGTATTGAAGTGTTAGCAGTCGGCAAGGTAAGCCTGCATACCACATTCTAGCCACTGTGTCACTACAGCTCAGTTCTTCTGAGGTCGGTAAAATGAGGACCGAGACTGTTGGTGGCAATATGCTGACACTGGAAACTGCTCAGAGAGTGCTGTAAAGCATTATGGAGCCTTATACAAGTGCTATTGCTATTATGATTTAGTTGATAACATAGAGTACTTAATTTGTTACATACTAGCATCAGATGATAATAATGCAATTCCTCTATAAAGAATAGGCGAAAGTCAAGTAATTAAGTCACTAATAAAAAGTGAATTTGCATGTTTTTAGACAGGGCTTAAATGAAACTGTGATATTTTTGAGAGTACAAAGTTATCCTCTAATACTTAAAAATAACTTACTTCTAGTTCCTTCCCAGGAGAAAGTTGACTAACATGGATTGATCCACTTGAATTATGAAAAATCTTCACAGGACATTTAGCTTCATTTTGAACCAGCTCCTGATATTGGTTGATTACTCTATAACATGAGATCAATACATCTTTCATGAAATTGCAGAGTTTCTATCTAGATAATGAACAATAGTAGAGGCCTGCTTATTTTTATATTTCTGCTGGCTATTAATTTCTATACATGTATATAAGGAACAATAAAAACAGTGTATTTAAGCTTACTAAAAGTATTCCCTATGGAAGATATTCTACTCTTCTACACAATCACAATCAATTTTAGAAACAAATTCTAATTCAGCACTTTTCTTTATTCTGAGTTCAATGTTTGAGTGGATTCCAAGAAGAGTTCCTGAGTTTCTGTTGTAATTGTAGTATATAATGACAAGAAAAGCTTTGAAATACAGAATGTGCAATTTAATCAATAAAGGATTATAACTATCTTTTAGAACTACACTTCAGTTCTTTTGTTAAATTTTCTGCAAACATTCCATGCCACACTAGTGGACAACATCCTAACCTTTCACCCCAATACTTGGTGTTAACTCCAGAGCAAAACACAGAATAAGAGACACACTATCCTATTCTGACAATGTATGCATTTGATGGGTGAGAAAGGTATATTCTACACAAAGATCATGGGTTTTAAGACAAACTTCATTTCCAAGGAAAAGAAAAAAAAACTATAAGGCCAATCTGAGGAGTTTTTGCAAGAGCAAACCCAGCTACCTGTAGAATCATGCAAATAGTAATCAGGTACTTACCTTTCTGCTTCTGACTTTGAGCCAATAAGAAAACTGTAAACAATAAAATACACTAATTAAAATTAAGTAAATATACAATATAGTTTATATATGTCACATCAACTGAGCTGAACATACATGATGTTTGCTTAACACGGAAACCCACTTCAAGCAGTATTTCATCTCTGATAGCTCACTGGCTAATTCTTTTTCTTTCTCATATAACTAAATTATATGAACTATTACAAAGCATCAGTAGTGCATGTCCAGACAGGAATTAGAGATATTTTACATGACATTGCTGGAAAAGGATGCTGGACAAAATGTGGTCTGATTCAGCAGGATTCTTTTTACACTATTATGCCCAAGAACCTGGATGACAGTCACCCCATTCCTTAAATTATTTTTGCCAAACAAATATTTTCCAAATATTTCCACTGGTACCTCTACTACTTCCTTTATCATGAACTTGCTTCTGCTACAAACCATCCATCCCGACTTTATTTATTAAGGTCTGCCTTTTCAAGTGAACATACATAGCTATGATGTGTGGAAAGTTCCTGTTCTGCCAAAGGGTGGAAATATAGGAAGGCTGAAAAAGACTTTACCAGATAATAGTGTCTTATAAAAATATAGCTGCAATTTTCAGAAATATATACAGTGGATACTTTCAGAAATTATTATAGGTAGTTTTCGACTTACAACCATAATGGAACCTACCCATTACTATCATAAGTGATGAACGCTGTTAAGTGCAATGGCCTTAATGATGCCTACTCCCCGCTCTCCCTGATGCGGTTGTTAAACACCAGGTGGATTGTTAAGCAGAGCATGGGGTGCCTTGGGACTCACCCAGTTGAGTCCAAAAAAGAGTCAGTCAAGCAGCAAAAAAGCTTTGCAAAGCCAAAAACAGCCCAGCAGTTAAAGGAAGCAAAGAAAATCCTTCTGGTAGTTGTTTGTGTGGAAGGTTGTTTGCAAAGTTAAGGATGATTCAGCACGTGCAGCAAACAGTCACAGAATAAGCTGGTTCGTAAAGGGAGTCAGGCAAGCGGCAAAAGGTTTGGAAACCATCCTTGGAAAGCTTTTTGCTGCTTGTCTGACTTTCTCTTCTGCTGAGGCCGTTTGCTTCGTGTGTTGTGTTCTTGGTAGCTTTGCAAAGTATTTTTCTTCACCTCTCCAAACAAACAACCCCCAGAAGGGTTTCTTTGGTTCCTTTATACTCCTCCCCCCCTTTAAAAAAATTAAAACCTTTTTCCTTTCTTCTTTAGCCTGCCAGTCACTCATCATGGTAAGTAACTTTCAGATTTTGTCACTTCCTTTCCAGGCACACAGTAAATTTAGTAAATTAAGTGGTTAAAGAGGATCAAGAATGGAGGGCAGTGGTGGAGAGTTTAGTTTCAAGATCTAATTGAGGGGGGGGGGGGAATCCACAACCCTGCCTCCTCAGCTTTTTTTCTATTTCTTTATTGGAAAAAATGTGAGTTTGAGGAAGAAAAGCAAGGAGAAGATTTTGGGAAGCTGGTCCTAGAGCTGCCATCTTTGCATGCAGCAGGCTCATTTCCCCAATGTCTAGCAAGAGCTAGGAACGATCTGCAGTCTCAACTGCCAGTCAATTGGGGCAGAGGATAGCCCATAAACATTTTTTACAAAATGCCACCAACGGATGGATCACTAAGCTTCCTCTATGGTGCTTCAAACATCAGGGTTTCGCTATAGCCAAGCACATAGGCTTGTTCAGAAGCCTTTGTGGTACTGGAATGCAGTGCTCGGGCCCTCATCTAGTTGGGCTCTTCCCCTGCTGCTGGGCTGTTTTTTCTTGCTTCATTTTGCTTTGTTCTGTTTTCTGGCAGCTAGCTTCTCTCTTTTGTTCCCTGGATGTTTGTTTGACTCATTTTAGGACCCAACATCTCCGGCTGCTTTTTGCAAAGCTTTTGTGGCTAAAGCTTTGGCTTTACTCACTGCTCAACAAGGCAGGGCAAATACCCAGGTGGGTGGTGCATTGCAGCCCCTCCCTATGGTCAAAAGTGTGGGCAGACTGCCAAGCCCCCAAATTTTGATCATTCAATCATAGGAGGGCTCCAATGGCTCTAACTTTGGGCATGAATCGTAAATACCTTGTTTCATTTTGAATGGTTGCAGAATGGTCACAAATTGAGGATAACCTATAGATTATATTTATTTATTTCTATCCTGTGTTCATTATTTTTAGGAATAACTCAAGGTGGAAAATATATTCAACCCACCTTCCTATTTTCCCAACAACCACCCTTAGAAGTGTGCTGTGTTGAGACAATGACAGGCCCAAAGTCACCCAGCTGGCTTTCATGGCTAAAGTGGGACTTGAATGTACAGTCTCCTGCTTTCTAACTTGATGTCTTAACTAGTAGGCCAAAATTAGCTCATATAGCCATTATGGTTAGATAAAAGTCTAATCTGACAACATTAAAACAATTAAATCTTTTTTACTGCTATCAGCCTACATGAAATTGTAGCTAAAACATTACTGAAGATCTGAAAACACACCAGGCACACAAACTGAAAATGAAAAGAAGCCTGATCACAAAGTAAGAGTCAGGACAGGTAACCCAAAACCCATATGATGTCAGGAAAGTGAGAGTTGAGAATGAGTTATAGTAAAAACAGTAAATATCAAAAAAAGAATTTTTGTAGGTATGTATATTCAAAATAAAAGAATCAGTACTATCACCTGCTCAATGAAGACAGCAAAATGCTAACAAATAATGAAGAAAAGCTGAGCTTACTCAGCTACTATTTTGATTTGTTGGTTCCACCCAACAAAAAGCACTTTCAAAGGTATGTGAATAATGGCAGGATGAAGAGGCAGAGCTGAAGCTTGAGACTGATAGAAACTTGGTTGGGGAATACTTTATATTGACTGAGTTTAAATCTTCAGATTCTAAAAGAATTAATGTTCTGCCATTATTTCTAAGAAATCCTAAAAAAGGGGTGAAATATGAAATCACTGGAAGAATGCAAATATTGTCTCTATCTTAAAAGAGGGGGGGGGGGCAAACTACAGTCAGTCTGACATAGATATTTTATGGCAAGATTCTAGAGGAAACCATACGGACATTGTTCTGTAAGCCTGTTAAAAACAACGCAGTGATTACTAGAAATCAGCCTGGATATATCAAGAATTAATGAGGTAATATTACATCATTTTAAAAACGAGTAACTCCCTTTATAAATTATGGTGATACTGTTGACATAATAGATCTTGACTTCAGCAAAGCATTTACAGTAACAGTGCTAATTTGCAAGCTAGATAAAGGCGGCCAACTGAGTGCATTCTGAGTAAGATTTCTCAGGCTTCATCAATGGTCCATCAAAGTTGAAAGAGATATCAAATGAAATACATTCAAATTAAATCTGGATCCTTTACTCTCATATTTGGGTGAAGAAGAGGAGGAAATGCTCATAAAATGTGTTGAGGACATATTGGATGGAGTAGCCAATATCACAAAGTAAAATTCAAAACTATTTTGATGGGCAGAAAGGAACAGAATAAAACATAACAGAAGCAGCTGCAAATTCTCCATTTGAGACATAAAAGCCAAATGCTTTGGTAACTTCACTTGTGAAAAAGTATTGAACAAAAATTGATTTCAAACCTGATATAATAAAATTAACTGCCCAAAGGGAACATACAACAGGAAGTATTTTTTTTACTTTACAAATAGTTCTCATGTAGGGACTTGCCTTAAACAGTGATTCTTTGCAAGTAAATGGTAATAAAAAAATTCAATTTCAAACACATATGTACATTTACAGCTGAATTTTCTGTGCCTGATTAACAAAAATCTTCAATGTGAAATTGATTAAAGTCTGGTCAGTTTCAGGCAGCAGTGTCAGGGTACTGAAGGGTACTAATTAACTAATTAAGGTAACAAAGCTAAGCTTGGTAAGGGTTAGCAATTTTGTGGGAAGCATCGAGCTGTGGAAAAAGGAGCTCAGGAAAAAATAGCTTGTTTAAGCAACCTCTGTTCTGCAAGGGAGCAAACTGGGAAAGAAAGTGTTAGGCACAGGACATGTACGTGAATGTGATTGCAACAACCAGTGATCTTTACAGTGTTTTTCATTCTGTATCAAATGTTTATTTACTGTAGTTACCCATTTTGCTTAATGACCAAGTGCCAGAACCAGTTAGTCTTAAATGAGAGCCACTAGTATTCTATCAGATGAAACCCAACCTTAAGTGCTGTATTCAGTTCTAGACACCACACTTAAAAACATTCCGAACAAACAGAAAAAGTTTGGCAACAAAAGTTATCATGGAACTGAAAAATAAGATCTATAAAGAAAGACTGAAGAAGTTGGATATTTTTAGGCTTGAATCAAAATGACTGAGATGTATGTATGTGAGCATTCTTCAAATCCAGAAGAAGGTTAAGACCTGTTGTTTCTTGTTCCAGAGTCTCACACAAGGAATAATGGATTTTAGTTATTGGAAAGCAGATTCCAATTCAATGCTAGAAAGAGGGTCATAATAGTAAGTGCTGTTCAATCATGGAATGAATTAATCAAGAAGATGGTGGATTCCAAATTTAAGGAATATATGTTCAAGGCAGACATCGGTCTGTGCAGCTTTGAATTGGATTTCAGCACTGATATAGTAGTTGAGCTTGGTGACTTAAATGATTCCTTCCAACTCTGTAATTCCACTATTCTCTGATACTATATAAATGCAAATGCTGGCATGTATATATACATATGCATGCACACGACATATCATCTGTTGTGATCCACAAGGTGAAAAAGATACCCAACCCTGCAGTAAAACAGGGGTGATTTAATGAAATGGAAGCAATCTTCATTCTGGAAGGCAATATGTGAGACCAAAGTCACCTAAGCTCATTCAACTAATCACATACTTTATTGGTATTCATACACAAACTATAATATATTATTATGTTCAAACACTGTCTAGATTTTTTCTCAATAATCTGCACAGCAGTAAAGAACACTCTACATTTTAGAAGCCCTTTCTTTACTTGCTAGACATGCAAAGTTCTTACAGCTCATATTAGCAAAAAATGCTATAAAATTAACATCAATGCTTTTTTCTAAAACTGAAAGATTAATGCCACTTACTGTGATGGACTTTCATTATCCTCATCATTCTTAAGAGTTTGTATTTTACCATAGTACAATGGATTTCCAAGTGACTGAAAAATTGTCAATTTTGTCTTCTGAAAATGATTGCCATTTTCACATTCAAAGACATAATCATCTTTTATTTCCTATGAAATAGAAAAAACACTTATAACTATTAAACAACATATTTACGATGTGCTTAGCTTGTGATAAAGCTGTACAGAGAACAGCAAACTTTGGGACTCTTGAGAATACCAGAGTCTTCATAAACTATATTTGGATGACATGTTTAATTTGGTAATGGATAGGATTACTGGTAAAAAACTAAACCCAGCATCCTATTATGTGTGTATCCTCTTATGTCCTCCTCCAAGATAACCTTACCCCACACCATGTAGCACTTTAAAGGTGACAACCAGGATCTTGAACTGAACTTGGAAGCAAATCAACAATTATTGTAGTTCTCTCAAAAGAGATGACTCATGTACAAATCTAGACCTGCACAAAACCATGAGGTTTAAACCAACTGAACCTTCCAGATACTTTTTAAAAATGGCCCAAGTAGAGCACATTACAATAGTCCAAATGGGAGATGACCAGGGCATAAATAACCAAACAGAGAGTCTCCCTATCCAGGAAAAGGCATAACTGGTGCACAACATGTTCAGCAAAGTCATAGTTGCCAACTGCTCTTTGAGCAAGAGCCATGAGTCCTGGAGGATCCCCAGATTATACATGGGCTCTGTCTGGGGTAGTGCAATCCTTAAATCTCAACAGAGAAGATACTTGTTTCTTCTGCTGAAGTTCAAATGTTAAATTATAATCTAGATCAGGACTGTCAAACTCCCAGCCCACAGGCTGGATGCATCACACACTGGCCACGCCCATGCCTGGTTTAGCGAAAGAGAAAAAAGTCCCGATGCATCACGTGATGCTGCCATGACAATGTGAGTTTGACACCCCTGATCATTCCAATTCTACCAGTATCTTGTTCAACAAACCCAACCTCACTATGCCGCTGGATTATCAAGTTAAATAGTTGTAAGGAGTGGATTCTTGGATGGGGTTTCATCTTATGCATAAGGTAAGATAATAATTTCAGGACACTAATTCTTTTTATATTTATAAGTGCTTATAAATATTAATATTAATATTAATATTAACATTAATATTAATGACTAAAATTAAAAAGTTGTATCTTTGATTTGTCCATAAATGTATTGTTTTTTTAAATAATATGTGCCTTCTACTAACCTTCATAGTTCTAGGCAACATAGAATTATCAGCAAACAGTTAACTAGACAAGAACACCAATATTCAAACTGATAGTTGGTCACAGCCAAATAGTTCAAAATACTACCATTCAGGTGTCAACTTACTCTTTTTTTAACAGAATGACAGAGTTGGAAAGGATCTTGGAGGTCTTCTAGTCCAACCCCCTGCTCAGGCAGGAAACCCTACAGCAGGGGTCTCCAACCATGGCAACTTTAAGACTTGTAGACTTCAACTCCCATAATTCCTCAGCCAGCAAAGCTGCTGATGAATTATGGGAGTTGAAGTCCACAAGTCTTAAAGTTGCCCTACAGTATACATTTCAGACAAATGGTTGTCCAATCTCTTCTTTAAAACTTCCAGTGTTGGAGTATTGATAACATCTGGAGGCAAGTTGTTCCACTGATTAATTGTTCTAGCTGTCAGGAAATTTCTCCTTAGTTCTAGGTTGTTTCTCTCCTTGATTAGTTTCCTTCCTTTGCTTCTTGTCCTGCCTTCAAATGCTTTGGAAAATTGCTTGACTCCCTCTTCTTTGTGGCAACCCTTGAGATATTGGAACACTGCTATCATGTCACACCTAGTCCTCCTTTTCATTAAATTAGACCTATCCAATTCCAGCAACCATTCTTTATGTTTTCGCCTCCAGTCTCCTAATCATCTTGCTCTTCTCTGCACTCTTTCTAGAGTCTCAACATGTTTTTTACACCGTGGCAACCAAAACTGGATGCAGTATTCCAAGTGTGGCCCTACCAAGACATTATAAACTGGTATTAACACTTCACATGATCTTGATTAATGCAGCCTAGAACTGTGTTGGCTTTTTTGGCAGCTGCAGCACATTGCTGGCTCATATTTAAGTGACTGTCCACTAGGACTTCAAGATACCTCTCATAGTTACTACTATTGAACAGGGTACCATCTGCACCATGTGCACAATTATTAGGCAAGTGAGCATTTTACCATCTCATCCTTTATATGCATATTTTCCACCTCCAAGCTGTATACACTTGAATGCTTAGTGGATATAAGCAGATCAGGTGATGTGTATTTGTGTAATGAGGGAGAGGGTGGCCTAAGGAGATCAACACCCTACAACAAGGTGTGCATAATTATTAGGCAGTTTCTTTTTCTCAGGCAAAATGGGCCAAATAAGAGATTTAACTGACTCTGAAAAGTTAAAATTGTAAAAGTCTTTCAGAGGGATGCAGCACTCTTGAAATTGCTAAGATATTGGGACGTGATCACAGAACCAACAAATGTTGTATTGCAAATAGTCAACAGGGTCACAAAAAACATGTTGAGAAAAAAGACGCACCTTAACCGCCAAAGATTTGAGAAGAATCAAATGTGAAGCTACCAGGAGCCCATTATCCTCCAGTGCTATCATATTCCAGAACTGTAACCTACCCTGAGTGCCCAGAAGCACAAGGTGTTCAGTGCTCAGAGACATGGCCAAGGTAAGGAAGGCTGAAACCCAACCACCACTGAACAAGACACATGCTGAAACGGGAAGACTGGGCCAAGAAATATCTGAAGACAGATTTTTCAAAGCTTTTATGGACTAATGAGATGAGAGTGACTCTTGACAGACCAAATGGATGGGTCCGTGGATGTAACAGATAGAGCTCCATTTCGACTCAGACACCAGCAAGGTGGAGGTGGAGTACTTGTATGGGCTGGTATTATGAAAGATGAGCTAGTTGGACCTTTTCGAGTTGAAGATGGATTCAAAATCAACTCCCAAACCTAGTGCCAGTTTTTAGAAGACACTTTTTTCAAGTAGCGGTACAGGAAAAAGTCTGTACCTTTCAAGAAGACTATGATTTTTATGCAGGGCAATGCTCCATTGCATGCACTGAAGTACTCCACTGCGTGGCTAGCCAGTAAAGGCCTTAAAGATGAAAGAATAACGACATGGCCCCCTTCCTCACCTGACCTAAAACCCTATTGAGAACTTGTGGGCTCTTCTTAAATGGGAGATTTACAGTGAAGGAAAACAGTACCCTGTTTCCCCCAAAATAAGACATCCCCTGATAATAAGCCCAATCAGGCTTTTGAGCGCATGGCAATAAGGCCAAGCGTTTATTTCAGAGTTCAAAAAACATAAGACGGCGTCTGATTTTCAGGGAAACATGGTACACCTCTCTGAACATTGTCTGGGAGGCTGTGGTTGCTGCTGCACAAAAAGTTGATTGTCAACAGATCAAGAAACTGACAGACTCCATGAATGGAAGGCTTATGACTGTTCTTGAAAAGAAGGGTGGCTACATTAGTCACTTTTTTTTTTTTGAACTGTCAGAAATGTTTATTTGTGAATTTTGACTTATTATTCTCACTTGAACAGACGAAAATAAATGAGATGGGAAAATTTTCATTTTTCATATAGTTGCATAATAATTCTGCACACTAATAGCTGCCCGACAATTGTGCACACACAGATATCCACCTAAGAAAGCCACAACCTCACTTTTACTTTCTTAAATATTCAGGTTTGAGGTTTATTAATGTTTTGGATTGATAGAGAGCACTGTAGTTGTTCAATAAAATCAATCCTCCAAAATACAGCTTGCCTAATAATTGTGCACACATTGTATACTATACCTGTGCACTTGGTTTGGTTTTTCTTGGCTAAATATAGAACCTTACTTTTTTCACCACTTCATTTTGTTAGATAGCGCCCAATGTTCAAGTCTGTCAATATCCTTCTGCATCTTAAGCCTATCTTCTGGAGTGTTGGCTATTCCTGACAGCTTGGTGTCGTCTGCAGATTTGATGAGTTCCCCATTTATCCCCTCATTCAAATCATTAGTGAAGATATTGAAGAGTACTGGGCCTAAAACTGAGCCTTGGGGTACCCTACTACATACTTCTCTCCATGTAGATGCAGTTCCATTGAGCGTGCAACGTTGAGTGCAGTTGGTCAGCCAGTTACGAATCTAGTGATTCTGTCTAACCCACATTTTTCTATCTTATCAAGTAGTAGGTTGTGGTCTATTTTATCAAATGTCTTACTGAAGTCGAAGTAAATTACATCCTCAGCATTTCTCTGGTCCACTAATTTGGTCACTTTGTCAAAGAATGCAATAAGATTTTCCTGGCATGATCTGTTTTTGACAAACCCATGTTGGCTTTTGGTTATGACTTTGTTTGACTCAAGGTGTTTGCTGATTCATTGCTTGATTATCTTTTTCAGAATCTTCCCAGGTATTGAGGTGAGGCTGATAGGTCTGTAGTTTCCTGTATCTATTTTTTTCCTTTTTTGAAGATGGAAACTACATCAGCTATTTTCCAGTCCTCTGGTAGTTCCCCGATGCTCCATGATCTTTGAAAGATATAGTTCAGTGGTTCTGAGATATGTCTGCCAGTTCCTTCAGAACCTTGGGGTGTAATCCATCTGGTCCTGGTGATTTGAACTAGTCTAGGGCAGGGGTCACCAACCTTTCGGACCTCAGGGACCACTAAATTCATAATTTTAAATCCCACAAACCATTAATATGAATCCAGCGCTCTCTCTCTCCTTCCCTCTGTCTCTCTCTCCCTCTCCCTGTCTCTTTCTCTCTGTCTCTCCCTCTCTCTAATCTCTCTTTCTCTCTCACATTCCTCTCTTTCTCTCTCTGTCCCTCCCTCTCTCTCATCTCTGTCTGTCTCTCTCTCATCTCTCTCTGTCTCTCTTGCTCTCCCTCATCTCTCTCCTTCTCTCTCTCCTTCTATCTCTCTCTCACACACACATCTCTCTGTCCCTTTCTCTCTGTGTGTCTCATCTCTCTGTCTCACTCTCTCTGTGTGTCTCATTTCTCTCTCTCTCTCTCTCTCTCTCTGTCTGTCTCTCTCTGTGTATCTCTGTCTTTCTCTCTGTGTATCTGTGTCTTTCTCT